TTTTGATTATCTGTAAAATGGGGGTAATAATACCTTACTTATCTTACAATATTTGGTGAAGATCAAATAGAAGAATGAATGTGAAAATATTTTCAAAAATATGTATGACCTATACCAGTGTTTCTAAAGTCATTTGTCTACCTCCTTTGTGACATTTTGCCTTGTGTATCACCTGTACTGTGATTTTTCTACAAATTGGACTATTCTAAATAATTTTTTATTAAAAATACTTTTTATCAGGATCATAATAAAAAGTAAAAATAAAAGCAACATAGTATTATTAAATGCTAGCTAGTTACTGTGAAGTGCTAAGGCTTGTTCTTAAAAAGGGAGACTAGATTAAGGAAGGTTTAAAGTCAAACTAGTACCAAGTAGAGACTTCAATTTTGACATAATCACGAGAGTTAAAAAGGAAAACTGGAAAAGGAAGAACTTTTCCATGGTTCGGTTAACTGCTATTTAATATCATAGCTACATGATATGGTCTCACTCTTTTTTTGTAATTGAAGTATAGTTGATTTACCATGTTGTGTTAGTTTCTAGTGTACAGCAAAGTGATTCAATTATACATATGTATATATGTATTCTTTTTCATATTCAGTTTCTTTCTTTCTTCCTTTTTTTAATTGGGGTGTAGCTGTTTTACAATGTTGTGTTAGTTTCTACTGTACAGCGAAGTGGAGTTCCCTGTGCTATACAGCAGGTTCTTATTAGTTATCTATTTTATACATATTAGTGTATATATGTCAATCCCAACCTCCCAATTCATCCCACACCCCCAGCCCCGCTTTTCCCCCTTGGAGTCCATACATTAGTTTTCTATATCTTTGTCCCTGTTTCTGCCTTGCAAACCGATTCATCTGTACCATTTTTCTAGATTTCACATATATGTGTTAATATACAAAATTTGTTTTTCTCTTTCTAACTTCATTCTGTATGACAGTCTCTAGGTCCATCCACATATCTACAAATGACTCAATTTCATTCCTTTGTATGGCTGAGTAATATCCATTGTATATATGTATCACACCTTCTTTATCCATTCATCTGTCGATGGACATTTAGGTTGCTACCATGACCTGGCTATTGTAAATAGTGCTGCAATGAACATTGGGGTGCATGTATCTTTTTGAATTATGGTTTTCTCCGGGTATATGCCCAGTAGTGGGAATGCTGGGTCATATGGTAATTCTATTTTTAGTTTTTTAAGGAACCTCCATACTGTTCTCCATAGTGGCTGTACCAATTTACATTCCTACCAACAGTGCAAGAAGGTTCCCTTTTCTCTACACCTTCTCCAGCATTTATTGTTTGTAGACTTTCTGATGATGCCCATTCTAACTGGTGTGAGGTGATATCTCATTGTAGTTTTGATTTGCATTTCTCTAATAATTAGTGACGTTGGGCAGCTTTTCATGTGCTGCTTGGCCATCTGTATGTCTTCTTTGGAGAAATGTCTATTTAGGTCTTCTGCCCATTTTTTGATTGTGTTGTTTGTTTTTTGAAATTGAGCTGCATGAGCTGTTTGTATATTTTGGAGATTAATCCTTTGTCTGTTGATTCATTTGCAAATATTTTCTCCCATTCTGAGGGTTGTCTTTTTGTCTTGTTTATAGTTTCCTTTGCTGTGCAAAAGCTTTGAAGTTTCATTAGGTCCCATTTGTTTATTTCTGCTTTTATTTCCGTTACTCTAGGAGGTGGATCAAGAAAGATCTTGCTGTGATTTATGTCAAAGGGTGTTCTTCCTATGTTTTCCTCTAAGAGTTTTACAGTGTTTGGTCTTACATTTAATCCATTTTGAGTTTATTTTTGTGTATGGTATTAGGGAGTGTTCTAATTTCATTCTTTTACATGTAGCTGTCCAGTTTTCCCAGCACCACTTATTGAAGAGACTGTCTTTTCTCCATTGTATATCCTTGCCTCGTTTGTCATAGATTAGTTGACCATAAGTGTGTGGGTTTATCTCTGGGCTTTCTATCTTGTTCCATTGATCTATATTTCTGTTTTTGTGCCAATATCATATTGTCTTGATTACTGTAGGTTTGTAGCATAGTCTGAAGTCAGGGAGCCTGATTCCTCCAGCTCCGTTTTTTTTTCTCAAGATTGCTTTGGCTATTCGGGATCTTTTGTGTCTCCATACAAATTTTAAGATTTTTTTGTTCTAGTTCTGAGAAAAATGCCATGGGTAATTTGATAGGGATTGCACTGAATCTGTAGATTGTTTTGGGTAGTATAGTCATTTTCACAATATTGATTCTTCCAATCCAAGAACATGGTGTATCTCTCCATCTGTTGGTGTCATCTTTGATTTCTTTCATCAGTGTCTTATAGTTTTCTGAGTACAGGCCTTTTACCTCCTTAGGTAGGTTTATTCCTAGGTAATTTATTCTTTTTGTTGCAATGGTGAATGGGATTGTTTCCTTAATTTCTTTTTCTGATCTTTCATTTTTAGTGTATAGGAATGCAAGAGATTTCTGTACATTAATTTTGTATCCTGAAACTTTACCGAATTCATTGATTAGCTCTAGTAGTTTTCTGGTGGCATCTTTAGGATTCTCTATGTATAGTATCATGTCACCTGCAAACAGTGACAGTTTTACTTCTTCCTTTCTAATCTGTACTCCTTTTATATCTTTTTCTTCTCTGACTGCTGTGGCTAGGACTTCCAAAACTATGTTGAATAATAGTGGCGAGAGTGGACATCCTTGTCTTGTTCATGATCTTAGAGGAAATGCTTCCAATTTTTCACCACTGAGAATGATGTTTGCTGTGGGTTTGTCATATATGGCCTTTATTATGTTGAGGTAGGTTCCCTCTATGCCTACTTTCTGGAGAGCTTTTATCATTAATGGGTGTTGAATTTCGTCAAAAGCTTTTTCTGCATCTATTGAGATGATCATATGGTTTTTCTCCTTCAATTTGTTAATATGGGGTATCACATTGATTGATATGCGTATATTGAAGAATCCTTGCATCCCTGGGATAAATACCACTCGATCATGGTGTATGATCCTTTTAATGTGTTGTTGGATTCTGTTTGCTAGTATTTTGCTGAGGATTTTTACATCTATATTCATCAGTGATGTTGGTCCATGATTTTCTTTTTTTGTAGTATCTTTGCCTGGTTTTGGTTTCAGGGTGATGGTGGCCTTGTAGAACGAGTTTGGGAGTGCTCCTTCCCCTGCAATTTTTTGGAAGAGTTTGAGAAGGGTGGGTGTTAGCTCTTCTCTAAATGTTTGATAGAATTCACCTGTGAAGCCATCCACTCCTGGACTTTTGTTTGTTGGGAGATTTTAAATCACAGTTTCAATTTCATTACTTGTGATTGATCTATTCATAATTTCTATATCTTCCTGGTTCAGTCTTGGAAGGTTATACCTTTCTAAGAATTTGTCCATTTCTTTCAGGTTTTCCATTTTATTGGCATAGAGTTGCTTGTAGTGGTCTCTTATGATGCTTTGTGTTTATGCTGTGTCTGTTGTAACTTCTCCTTTTTCATTTCTAATTTTATTGATTTGAGTCCTCTCCCTCTTTTTTTTGATGAGTCTGGCTAAAGGTTTATCAATTTTCTTTATCTTCTCAAGGAAGCCGCTTTTAGTTTTATTGATCTTTGCTATTGTTTTCTTTGTTTCTACTTCATTTATTTCTGCTCTGATCTTTATGATTTCTTTCCTTCTCCTAACTTTGGGTTTTGTTTGTTCTTCTTTCTCTAGTTCCTTTAGGTGTAAGGTTAGATTGTTTACTTGAGATTTTTCTTGTTTCTTGAGGTAGGCTTGTATTGCTATAAACTTCCCTCTTAGAACTGCTTTTGCTGCATCCCATAGGTTTTGAATCATCGTGTTTTCATTGTCATTTATCTCTAGGTATTTTTTGATTTCCTCTTTTATTTCTTCATGATCTGTGTTCATCTCTGTTTGTTTGTTCTTTAATTCTTCTAGGTCTTTGTTATACATTTCTTGCATCTTCTCGATCTTTGCCTCCATTCTTTTTCTGAGGTCCTGGATCATCTTCACTATCATTATTCTGAATTCTTTTCATGGAGGTTGCCTATCTCCACTTCATTTAGTTGTTTTTCTGGGATTTTGTCTCGTTCCTTCATCTGGGACGTTATCCTCTGCCTTTTCATTTTGTCTATTTTTCTGTGATTGTGGTTTTCATTCTGCAGGCTTCAGGATTGTAGTTCTTCTTGCTTCTGCTGTCTGCCCTCTCCATATTCCTCTTCATTATGATTTATTATAAGATATTGAATATAGTTCCCTGTGCTATACAGTAGGACCTTTTAGCTTATCTGATACGGTCTCACACTTAAAAGACATTGATGTACAGGAATTTGGTTTTATGGAGAGGTTTCCCCAGGGAAGAAAAGAACACAATGGTCTGAATAATTGTTTGTGCCAGACCCCACGTAATCCCATTTTATCTTAATGGGAACCTTACGATAACCAGTTGAGATGGGTGTTAGTGCCCCATTTCAGTTGGGAAAACTGAGGGTCAGGGGGTTGTGTACCTTGACTTGACATCACACAGTTAACTAAAGAGAGAATCACTCAGAGGCAGCATGACTCAGGTGCGCCAAAGTCCATATTCTGCCCATACCACCTTATAATTCCATTATCTAGCCCCTCCTTATGACATATGGAATTTAGGAATAACTGTGCCCATTGTCTGCTTGTAAGGTGCACTTATCAGAAAAAGGCAATATAATGTATTGGTTGAGAACATGGTCTCTGGAGCCAGACTGCCTGGATTCAAATTCTGACTATGCTTCTTATTAGCTGTGTGACCTTGGGCCAGTTACTCAGCCTCTCTGTGCCTCAGATTCCTAGGGCCAATAATAGTATTTATTTCAACCTCTTGTTGTGAAGATTAAATGGATTGATATGTGAAAGGTAATTAAAATAGTGCTGGCACATAATTCCTTCTATCCAAGTGTTAATATTATTCAGGTTTTATGTTGTCTCTACCATGGTATGGCTTAGGATAGAATGTTCCACTCTCTGTTAGGAAGGCAGCATGTCAAGGCATCCCCTCTTTAGAGCAGGCTTCACATCTTTATCCCTCAGGCTGTAGATCAGAGGGTTCAGCATGGGGATGATCACTGTGTAGAAGACAGACACGACCTCGTTCTGTTCCATGGAACTGTGAGAGCTTGGCTGAACATACATGAAGGTGATGGTGCCGTAGAAGAGGCAGATGACTGCGAGGTGAGAGGCACAGGTGGAGAGTGCTTTGCTCTGAGCCTTGAGGGAACGCATCCTGCAGATAGTCACCAGGCTGTAGGCATAGGAGACCAGGATAATGGTGACGGCAAAGAGGATAATCAAGGCAGAAGATGAGAAGACAATGGCCTCAGCCTTGGCAACGTCTGCACAGGCAAGTTGGAGAGCAAGGGGGATGTCACAGACATAGTGGTTAATGATATTGGGGCCACAGTAGAGCGGCTTGAAGATGTACCCAGTCAGTAAAGCTGAATTGGCAACAGAAGCCATATAGGTGGCTGCCACCAGTTGGACACGCAGACGTTGGGACATGCTGGTGTGGTAGAGGAGAGGGTGGTAGATGGCAGCAAATCGGTCATATGCCATAATGGCCAGGAGCAGACACCCAGCAGTACCGTGGAGAGTCATGAGGGTCATCCGGACCAGGCAGCCTGCAAAGGAGGTGGACTGGCTTGAGGTGAGGAAGCTCTGCAGCAGCCTGGGGGTGTTTAACGTGGAGAAGGAGGAGTCTATGAAGGAGAGGACACTCAGCAAGAAGTACATGGGCGTGCGGAGCTGCGGGTCTGAGTGGATCAGGGTGATCATGGCCAGGTTGCCTGTGAGGGTAACTGAGTAGATGAACAGGAAGAGTGCCAAGAGGATGCCCTGAGCCCTGCCTGCCGTGTGAGCCCCAGCAGGAGGAACCAGGTGACGCGGGTGCAGTTCTTCGCTGTGGTGCCCCTGTCACTGCAGAGACACCAGGTAAGACATGCTTGTACCCTAGAGGCAGACCCTGGGGTCAGTGTCTGAAGCTCTTTTAATTCCCCCAGTATGGGCAGTGCTAGAGGAACTGGGGAGGGGACACTGGCATGAATTGATCACCTACTGTGAGTCATGTGCTAACTCATTTCCTAAACAGCTATTGAAACTTCATAATCCTTTCTCACTTAAATATTATGCCCATTTAAGTATTCACAATAGCCAAAACATGGAAACAGCCTAAATGTCCATTGACAGAGGAATGGATAAAGAAGATGTGGTACATATATCCAATGGAATGTTAGTCATAAAAAAGAACAAAATAACGCCATTTGCAGCAACATGGATGGACCTAGAGATTATCACACTAAGTGAAGTAAATCAGACAGAGACAGACAGATAATATATGATATCACTTATATGTGGAATCTAAAATATGACAAATGAACTTATCTATGAAACAGAAACAGACTCACAGACACAGAGAACAGACTTATGGTTGCCAAGGGGGACAGGGCAAGGGGAGGGATGGATTGGGAGTTTGGGTTTAGCAGATGCAAACTATGAATAATCAACAAGGTCCTACTGTAGAGCACAGGGAACTATATTCAATATCCTGTGATAAACTATGATGGAAAAGAGTATGAAAAAGAACGTGTATATATGTATAACTGAATCACTTTGCTGTACAGCAGAAATTAACGCAACATTGTAAATCAACAATACTTCAATAAAATAAATTGTAAAAATGTATAGAACATAAAAAAACATTATGTCCATTTATATTTACTGAGAGTATCAATTTGTCCAAGGTAAAAGAGCTAGTACATAAAAAACGTGGGATTAGAACTCAGTCCAAGTAACAATCATATGTCTATTATATAGTTATAATAATTTTCTCTTTCCCAAATTTCCTGTTCCATGGAGAAATGGCATCACTAGTGAGTGTTGGAGGCCGGTATGTGGATCCAGAGAGGGAATACATGAAAGTGTTCATTTGTAATTTATTTGGGGGCAAAGGCTCCAACAGTACTAGTCCCCAAGGCCAGGGACACGGGAATCAGGCCTAATGTCATCATTAATATAAGTAGAGCAGTGATTTCTCCCAGTGTTGTAGGTTGAATTGTATCTCTCAGGAAGATTTGTTGAAGTCCTAACCCCTGGTACTTGTGAATGTTACTTATTTGTAAATAGGGTCTTTGCAGAAGTAATCAAGTTGAATCATATTCGATTAGGGTGAGCCCTCAATCCACTATGACTGGTATTCTTATAAGAAAAGAAAACGGAGATACAGGAGATGATACGGGAGAATGCCATGTGAAGACACGGATACAGATGCAAGGTGGCCATGTGAAGACAGAAGCAGAGGTTGGAGTGATGCTGCCACAAGCCAAGGATGTCTGGGGCTTCTGGGAGCCAGAAGAGACAAGGAAAGATCCAGCCCTTGAAGCTTCTGAGGGAGCACATCTCTGCCAACACCTTAATTTTGAACTTGCAGCCTCCAGAAATACGAGGGAGTGTATTTTTCTTGTTTTAAGGCACACAATTTGTGGTACTTTGTTACAGCAGCCCTAGGACACTAATACACCCAGCTGGGGACACTCCTGGCTATTGGTACAGGCCTCCTGAGCAGTTGTCAGGAGACGGGGTTTCTTTTTTTTTTTTGGCCATGCCACATGGCATGTGAGATCTTATTTCCTTGACTGGGGAGCTGTGGAAGTGCAGAGTCTTAACCACTGGACTGCCAGGGAAATCCCTGAGACTGGGCTTTCAGATCTCTCTCTATTGACAGAGCTAATAATCCAAGGGGAGAAAATTAAACACAATAAATTAAAACAAAGTCATTTATTATTTACCACTAACTAAGAAAAATATTTGTATGGGAGAATAGGCAGCTACATTAAATATGAAAACTCCAGTTCGACAAAACCATGACCAAAGAACCAAAGTCTTGTGTTTTAGCTATAAATAACTGAAGGCAGTAGGACATGCCAGATTTGTGGTATTGGGGTCCAGTGCAGGGCATGGTTCTGAACCGGAGGTGAGCTCTTTCACCAGAGAGCACAGGTCAGAGTGTTCACACACCTAACCTCCCCAGAGGAGCCCACATGTTTATGTAAGTTTTCTCAGCTGTTGTCATGCTCCCAAGAATTTGCCTCTAAGCATCCTCGCTTTTTGGGTTTTCAGATAACCAAGGCTGCTGTTCTGAGGGGAAGCCCTTGTATGGGATACTGGCCAGGGCCTTCTGTTGTTGGTTGGACATCATTGGTTGGACGTCAGTTCTGATTGGTTGAGTGTAGGTTCTGATTGTTGGAGCATCTGTTCTGATTGGTGCCCATGGCGTTCTGGTTGTTAAATGTTTGGAATTCTGTATCATCTGGATGAGGCTGGGAACAAAGGAGGAGTAAGGCAGGGCCTCTTCAGAGTATCTCAGGATAGCTAGAAATAAGTGGCGTCTGATCAAAGCTGGTAATAGGGCTTTGTGTTATCAGTATCTATTGGCAACTCGGCCTCTTGAAATATAAAAATGTATGTACAGATTTTACCTATGGAGAGCACCAGTGGGGTTGCTTCCTCTCTGCTCATGGTGTTTCCTTTCTTAAAGAGGGATATCCATTGTGTAATACCCCTGACCCCCTCTTCTCCTGGAGGAGGGATGCCTTTTGTGATCAATGGGTTTGGGATAAGGCACTGAATGTGTGGAGCTCTGCTTTGCTCTTTGGAAGCACAGGTTCTGCTCTGCTCTATTTCTCCGTAATGTAGACCTTAAAACTAGGTCATTGTCTGTCTAATTTTTAAGAAGACCACTTACAAGGATGAGTCATGTCCTGCAGTACCAAGTTGCATCAGTGATGCAGGTGGTATTTTGCTCTCTGTCTGCGTTGCTTCTACCTCATCTCTCTTAATTGGTTCAGAATTAGCATAGAGAGCAGAGATGTTAGTTATTGTGGTCCTTAAAGACCTCAGCACAGAGAAAACCAGAGGGAAGCTGGCAGGGGTGCTTTGCTTGGCCTGTCTCGTCAATAATTCCATGACCTGGGCTCACTCATCTCTAGCACACTGATAGAGTTAAGGGGTGTGTTGGCTGAAACAATGGGTGTGATTGAACCCTGGAGGACCTGGATTCATAATAATAAATTCCTGGAGGAGAAAGCAGAAGGACAGCCCCCTCCAGTTCCTCTGCTAAGATGTTGATGAGGGGCTGCCATGACAATGAGAGTACATGAATGAGAATGAAGTGTCGTGACATGAAAGAAAAGAGAAGACTTATCAAGGTCAGAAGAGGGGCGGCTCATGAAGGTGGAGGTCATCTCAAGATGAGAAAGCCCCTGAGAGTTTCTGAAGATCTCCTGTTCCCATGGATACCTTACAGAGCCAAGGATGGGTTCCGCTTCTCTCTCTGACACCTCTGCTCTTGCCTTGGGCACAGGAACTTGCCACTTTTGGCTATAACTTTAATTGCTTGATATTTGTGTGTAAAGTACAGTGATCAGTAGTTTGGAGTCTCAACTAATTTCATAAATTTTTTTTTTTTAAATTTTGGCCATGCTGCACGGCTTGTGGGATCTTAGTTCCCTGACCAGGGATTGAACCCGTGCCCTCAGCAGTGAAAGCGAGGAGTCCTAACCACTGGACCACCAGGGAATTCCCAATAAATACATTTCTTTTGATAGAAAGAGCTTTAGTGAATGGGTGGAGAAACTGGAGTTTTCAGACCCCCAGGGTTAGTCCAGGTACTATTTATTCCTTGCCTTTTAAAAATAAACATTTGGGCTTTCACGGTGGCGCAGTGGTTGAGAGTCCGCCTGCCGATGCAGGGTACATGGGTTCGTGCCCCGGTCCGGGAAGATCCCACATGCGGCGGAGCGGCTGGGCCCGTGAGCCATGGCCGCTGAGCCTGCGCGTCCGGAGCCTGTGCTCCGCAACGGGAGAGGCCACAATAGTGAGAGGCCCGCGTACCAAAAAAAAAAAAAAAAAAAAAAAGAGTGAGGATAGAATGTAAGCAGTAAAAGCCAAGAGGCCCCTGGGACTTCCCTGGTGGTCCAGTGGTAAAGAATCTGCTTTCCAATGCAGGGAACGCTGGTTCCATCTCTGGTCAGGGAACTAAGATCCCACATGCCGCAGGGCAACTAAGCCGGCACACCACACCTACTGAGCTTACGTGCCTCAACTAGAGAGCCTGCGTGATGCAAACTACAGAGCCCACGTGCTCTGGAACCCTTGCGCCACAACTAGAGAGAAGCCTGCCCGCCACAAGGAAAGATTCCTGCATGCCTTGACGTAGATCCCGCGTGCCGCAATTAAGACATGATGCAGCCAAATATTAAAAAAAATTAAAAAAAGCCAAGAGGTCCCTGGGTAAAACCCTAAGGAAATTAATTTCAACCTTACTCTGCACTGCTTCTGAGCTCCAATTTTTTCCCAGTCACCTCGGTGAAGGGGCTGATCAGATTTGAATGGTGTGAGCATGGTTCATGAGAAAGGGAGGATAAAGGAATCTAAGCCCTTACTGGTATTAGGATTCCACCTCTCAGCCTGCTTACCTGTGGTTGAGCAGAGACCATCCATCCATGAGCCTTGTTTTTGCAGACCTCTTGGGGTGTTCCTCTCCCCTTTTCATTAATTGCCCCTGACCAGCTTTCTCAAGAGAACTTGTCAACCAGTTGTAACAAAGCTGGGAAGACTCCCGTCTTAAGTTTCGTCTGTTTTTTTCATCATGACCCCTAGAGTTAAGAAATGTGCCAGTGGGAATTCGTGACTGGTCCTCCCAGGAGCAGTCCTAGAACTGCAGGTTGTCTCCAAGGTATGCTGGAGAGGTCTTGGGGACGGTTGTCTGGGAACCCCTG